AATTATTTTCTTCTAATTTTTATGGCTTTTAAAATTACGATTTTTAGAAAATTTATTTTAGAGAAAATTTGGGATAAACTTTTGAAAAATTAAAAAAAACCAACTAGAAATTTTTAGAAAATCTACAAAAAATTCATATCTAAAAATTTTGAGAATTTTTATAAAAAAATCGAGTCTTGGAAAATTTTTGAAAAATTCAGTGTGTCCTTTTTATAACTAGGTAAAAAATTAACATTTTCAAATTTATTTTTTTTTTACGGGGCATTTATGATATAAAATGTCGTGAAAGAATAAAATGAAGATTTTGATAGCTTTTTTTTCCTTTCAAAATTTGAAAAAAATTTTGGCTCTCATGATTTTGGATAAAATTTCTATTTTAATTTTTTTTTTGATTTTTTTGATATATTTTTTTTTTGAAAAGTACATAAAAAAACGAACAATTAAAAAAAAATTTGAATATCAGAAATTTTATAAATTTTTTTGAAAATTTGTTAAAATTGTGACAATCAATTTTTTTTTAATTGTTCATTTTTTTATCAATAAAATCAAATAGAAATTTCATTAAAAAAAATGAAAATTAAAAGTGGTTGCCACCACTTGTAAATATTAACCAAAATTTTTATTTATTCTTTGTCCTTTAAAAACAAAAAAAAACCTCTTAGAAAGCTCCATTCATTCGTAATAAATCAAAAGACAAAAATAATATTAGTACATAAAGGTATACATAAATAATACTAGTAGACTATCAGTGATAACCCGGGGCTTATTATCCTCGTGTTCTTATTCTAATCCAGTTTATCAGGCCCCAGCGCTGGCTGGCTACCCGGTATACCTGATACCTGTATGTAGTGTAACAAGGAACGGGGGCCAACGGGGTGTCGCAACGTTGTACCAAGGGTGTTCTGGGTAACCACAAGGTGGACGAGACGCCCCCGCTAAATATATACCGCCTACGTGCATTCCGCAGTGAGCGTGCCTTTAAATACTTCTGAAATTAAAGCAACAATAATAACAACAACAACAATCACCACAAAATAAAAAGGTTAAGTGTAGCGAGTAGTGAGTAGATATAGAGGAATGATTCAAGAAGCATTGAACTTGAACTTGCTCGTGTTTCCCCTCCTCGGCGCCTACACGACTCCCTCATTGTAAGTCATGATGTCAGAAGCATTACTTACACTTACACTTATACTGTTTTTATTATAATTTATCAGTTCATCCACCATTTAATCATTTATTCATTTAATCCTTGTTATTTTTGGTTAATTTTTTAAAGTAATATAATACATCGTGCAATTTAAACTGTCTCGATTAAAATATGATGCGATATTAATAATAATAATAATAATAATAATAATAACAAGGAATAAAGAAGGAGCGACTGCGATTGTGGAATAGAATGAAATGTCTGGTTGCTCAATGATGTACTTCGTTAAGCGTATTAAAATGCAGTCGGCTCACCAGGGCAATGCATTTAAAGATAAATATGGACATTTATGTTGTATGCTCTGTGGTATTTATATGACAATACTAATATTTGGTTTATTTATAGACATATGGAAATTAATAAACATGTTACGGTTACACTTTATTTGGATTTCAGAAATGTTTGTTCGTATTGTTTAATTATAAAGTTATTAATTTCTTTAAAAAGTTCAATTGCACGCCTCATAAGCGAAGCGGATGAGGTTGTGCTCTACACTCGTCTTACAAAAATTAAGCGATTTCTTGAACTAAAATTGTCTCTATTTATTTTTTATCGCATTTATAGGACAATATTTACACATAAATGTCATCGAAAAACACTAGTTTCAACACTTATGACATTTTTAAAAGACATTTTGCTTGTTAAATAAATAAAAAAAATGTTTAAAAAATTATTCCGTGGACGTCCGGCTGTCAAATGTATGTATGAAAACTGACGTGGTCACGATAACTGCCGAAAAACTCAACTGATCAAGTCCATTTATTTTTTATACGCTTCAGTATGATTCAAAACTAAGTGCTTTCGAAGATTACGGTCTAATTCAATGTAGTTTATTTATAATTAGCAATAAACTAAAAATCCACTAATCCTTTGTATATTTATATCTATGTAAATAAGGTTCGTTTACAATACATGTTTAGTGCCTTTTCTTTTCTGGGTGGACAATTGGCGCGAAAGATTTAAAAGTATTTTTTGTATTTTATTTGAATCAATTTTATTATGGAAAATGAGATTATGAGGCGTGCACTTTTGGATTTTTCAAGCTTTTTATTTTTTATCGCACTTGCAGAACAATATTTACACATAAATGTCATGGAAAAACCCTAGTTTCAACACTTATGACATGTTTAAAAGACATTTTGCTGTTTAAATAAATAAAAAAAATGTTTAAAAAATTATTCTGTGGACGTCCGGCTGTCAAATGTATGTATGAAAACTGGCGTGGTCACGATAACTGCCGAAAAGCTTAACTGTTCAAGTCCATTTATTTTTATGTGCTTCAGTATGATTTAAGAGTAAGTCCTTTCGAAGATCACGGTCTAATTCAATGTAGTTTATTTATAATTAGCAATAAACTAAAAATCCACTAATCGTTTGTATATCTATATCTATGCAAATAAGGTTCTTTGACAATACATGCGTAGTACCTTTTCTTTTCTGGGTGGACAATGGTACAACAGATTTAAAAGTATTTTTTGTATTTTATTTTAATTAATTTTATTATGGAAAATGAGATTATGAGGCGTGCAATTTTGGATTTTCCAAACTTTCTAGAGGGATAATTCTATACAAATAATTTCACGAAAATTTGTACAATTTTTTACGATGACTATCCTTGATTCGTGAAAATAACTGCAGCTTTCTCATTTCAAATACACCAACTGCTATCTCTATGATTTTTTCTAATTAGCCTTTGAAAAAAAAGTTTACACTCCAGATTAACAAAAAATTTAATTTCGCAAAGCATTTGAATATCTTGAAACAAACTCTAGTTACATCCTTGAATATATTCTCAGCTTTTTATCTTAACTATCCCAACAATCATTGTACTCAACAAAACTACCTACATCAAGGTATGAAACATAATTCAACTCACTACAATTAATAAGATTTTGTAAGACGTCGTTGAACGAGCAAATAATTAACAGTTATTTTGTTTGACATCCACCGCGGTATCATGCATTGAGCAATCTATAATTTATATTCTTTCCATTTCTCAACATCGCACGTTATTCCAACAGATAATTAATAATTTTATTTATTAATCCATCGCATACTTGAATTTCTAGATTATTGTTCTTAACACATTGTGCAATATCTCACTCGATTGTATTTGTTGCAAAATTTAAAAAGTTAAAATTACTTTTTGTAATGGAAATTATTAAACATTTCACATTTAAAAATAAAACTTCAATTAATTCCTCAAACATTTATAATCCATCCACACTAAAATAAAAAACAGAAGATAACGACTTAAGTACCTCGTATTATTGTAGTTAATCCAGAATTACCGAGAAAAAAATTTAAATAAACGTGGAATGCATTACATTTGATTGCATTAGAAGAAATACTGCTGAATGATGTATTACATCTGCCCGGTCTCAGATTACGTTCAACAAAGTTCACTCTTTTCCGACTAAATCGACGTATTATATCAAATATTATGCTTATAATAATACATAGTAGTATTTGCATGAGACGCAACGTGTCTTCATTATGACATCACTCATCTTTTTTACGTTACATTTTCTCACGGCTATCTTTAGCCTTTAAGTGAGTTCTTGTTTTATTTTTGAACGTTAACTTAAATTATGTGTTACGTATGATAGTTTTCAAACATCGATATAAATAATCTCAATATTTTGGGCGCCAACTATGTACAAAACACGTGCAAAATATATTAGACTAATTGTAAAATCATGTTGTTTCAGACCGGTCATATGAAGACATCCAGTGGAAGCTACATCATAAAGCCAACGACAAATCGAATTGAGGATAAAGATACTGCCAACAAGTTTTCATTCGAACATGCCATTTATCGCGTTTCTGCAACGAGAACTAATTCTAACAATGTCGATTTGCCAGATGAATCCGGTCACAATTGTGGAGTTATAGGTAAGTCGTTTTCACATTTTGCACGCCTCATAAGCGAAGCGTTGAGGTTGTGCTCTACTCTCGACATTTCAAAAAAAGCAGTTTTCTCGAAACTGAAATTGATTTTTTGTTATTTATATCGCACTTACAGGTTAATATGAGTACACTTATATCAAGTCGAATAATTTGTCAGGCACATAAAATATATTTCAATAACAATTTTTTTGTTTAACATAGTAAATAATAACATTTAACATAATTTTTTCTGGACGTCCGTGTATGGATGAGTGTATGTGGCAGGGAAATTGGTCGAAAAAATGATCGTACCGGAACAATTTTTTTTTTAATATCTAAAGTAACACACGAAGGATTTTCCTAATTAATATGAGCATTCAATTCACTGTCGTTAAATTATTATTTATAAAAAACTAATATATGACTGTGGATTTTTTTGTATATCTATCTATACATTTTATTATAGTATTTTTTTTTCCTCACCTTAGAGTTATGGCGCCACTAAACCATAGCAGAGTTTTGTTTTTTATTATTTTGCTTTTTATATTTTATTTTAATCAATTTTATTGTGAAAAATAAGATTATGAGGCGTGCACTTTTGGATTTTCCAAACTTTTTTTTACAATTAGCCTTACGTAATTCTCCAATTCGAAAAATGATCCAGCATAGCCTATTTTTATTTTATGTATTTCGATGGTTTTTATGAATTTTATGAAATTCAGTCTGTCTAACTTATCGGTTAGAGCATGCATACAAGTTTTCAATTTTTTTATTTTGTTCATTGGCATTATTTAGAATAGTTCCCGAATTGTGATCAAAAAGTAATTCTATAGTTAAATTAAACTTATATTCTTTTATCTGATGTATATTATTATTAATTATTATTATATATATTTAATTATTATTATATATTATTATTAAAAAACGGTATTGTTGATTGCCCAGCGTCTTTTTTCAAATCCGACATTACAAATTTGATAAACTGGTCTGTTTTCGAGTTGATAAAATTCTTTGGTGAGTTCAACGGAATATCTGGACTGTTATAGATCATTTCTTCTCTGAAAAAAACTATCAATTATAGTTTGATCAAACATTAAGAAGTGACAAAAAAAATCAATTAGCACACCTCAACTTTTTAGAATCTCCAGAAATCCAGAACGTTTGTTCAAGATTAATCAATTTACCGGTGATGTAATCATAAGGAGTCACACGAATTTGAAATTGAACCCTTACATTATTGAGTAAATTAAAACCAGGATCTGCAACACCTGAAAATTTGACTCCCGTGACAGCGAAACCATCACGAGCGACCAAATTATTAAAGTTCACGCTTTCAGGTCTGGTATAATCTACTCCCAATTTCAGGGTTCGTAAGGTACCATTGACCTTAACAACATATCTAAAAGGTTGATATAATTCCTTAAAAGTTTCTAATGGCTTCCATGTAGAATTGGTGATCAATCCGTTGGGATTCCCTTTGCCCTCTTTGATCTGGACGTGGATCACATTGTCCTTTTTCGCGAACCTCACTTCTACGACTATCCTAATGACGAATTAACAATTGAATTGTTCAATATTGTTCTGTTGACGATTGTAATAAATATAAATTAATCATACGAACTTGTTTTCCGTGATATCAGAAACTTGCTCTCTGAAGCTGATGACGTTGATGTGCTGATACTTGCTCAGTGAGTTCGCAAAACAAGTGCATACACAAAAATCACAATCTCGAATTCGAGATGGACTGTAATAACTGTCCCTAGTTGTTAACTTGCCTCGACATTGTCGATGATCTGTATCGCCAAATTCTTCACCATTTCGGCCTACAAACCACTCGTAGCGCCTTGAACTCTTCTCGTCAGACTTAGTTAGGGATTTAATCAATAATTATTGTAATCATCAATCAATAAAGTAATATTCTGCACAAAAACTAATATTTACTTTACAAATAGTATAACCCGAGGTAATATATTGACATTCCTGAAAACTGCTGCACTCCGTTCGATTAATAGGACCAGTCAGCTGACTTAGATAACAATTGTGACTGCAAGAACCCGTAACACTCATCAACCTTTCTTCAATTATTATAGTCTGAATCATTTTCTCTAATTCGTAGTAATAGAAATCTTTATTATCTGCACAAAAAACCATCGATTAAAAAAAGTACCAAAATTTGACGGATCCAAGGTATAATTACATCTATCGAAATATTTTACGTCACAGCGATAGGTGTAATACTGGACGTCATCCAGCAATTTTTTGGTCAACCGAATGGCATTTGAAAAATCTTCTTCAAACTCTCCTGGAGGTACTGAAAGAACAGAGCCTGCAAAAAAGTAACAAAAATTATGATCATTTTTATCGCTCCTTCATAAAAAATCTAAAACTTACGGTTTTGACATCGTGTCCCAGCAATTTGGGCAAAACGGATCATAGTGTACCTTTTTAAAAACGGTGTCATTACTAAACGGAAGAAATTGAACAATCCTACGCGGAATGAACTGGTCTTGCCACAGAAATTGTGCTGATTCTCACTCTTAAAGATCAAAAGAATCAGTAGACTTAATTACAATTAACACATTGTAAACCAGTTTGAAATACTTACGGCCATTTTCGTTCTCAATGCGCATAAAAAGTCTTCGTAGACTGACGAAATCGATTGGTCATAGTGGTCATTCTGAATGAAATCAAGAAATCCTATAAAATAGGGGCAGAAGTGAATGAAATCAGAGAAATAATTATTGTGGCGAAAGAAAATTAATGATCTGACGACTGCGTCAATAGCACTGTGCTTATTTTCAATTTGTTTTATATAAGTCATCAAATCGAGAGACGATTCCGTGTAACCTACTTTCACCTGATAGTCTTCCAGCGTTTTTATGAACTTGTAGAAATCATTTGGCCAATAGTTGTCCTCCGAGGAATTGGCTATCGAATTTAGCTCTTCTAATAGACTTGTAAGGTCGATTAGAATCTTTTTGAATTCTTTGTTACCTTCAGTATCATTGAGTTTCTTGTTTCCTGGATTGTAGTCGATAGCAGATCTTATATTTAGGCCAATTACAAAAGAATTGATTCGGTCCATGTCATAAATATCCGGCAAATCGATACCCAAAGACACATTTGTTACTGCGAAAAAGATTAATACACACAAATAATTACGCGTAATCATGATTGGTTTTGGGTAACTAGCAGAAATAACTCTTCAGTGAAGAATGCGTAGCAATTACTGTTGGATAAAGCGGAACTGAATTGATATAAAGAAGATTGTTGTTATTATCCATTAATGTGTTCTTTATTTTTTCAACATTAGCTTTAATTGTTACGACACAAATTGTGTAACTACAAGCCGTTAGATGTTTAAAATTGCTATAAAAGTGATTAGGTAGAGTAATTAATTTCTGTCACAAATACAAGATTGCTTATTTTTTTTTATTTATTTGATAGAATTTAATATTTTATTCATTTTGGACTCAGACAGAACTTTTTTCATTGAAATACTGCGAGAGATTAACGTCGAACACCTTGAAAGCCAAAAATCCTCCATAGCCTTTGCGCCCACGGTGAACAACCCCAACTCCTCCCAGAGGGAACTCAGGCTTCCCTTCAACGTCCTGAGCATCAAAAAACGGCACCGTAGATTGGCCAGCATCTTTAACTAAATCCGAAGTCTGGAATTCGACATATTGGTTCGTCTTTGAATCAATAACATTTAACGGTGATTTAGTTGGCATATCTGGCTGTGTTAGATCCAACTTATTCCTGAAAAAAATAGTAGTCAGTATAATTTAAAACTGTTTTATCATACAAGTACAAACCTGAATCCCAAGTACGTTGAGAAAATCCAGCGAGTTTCATTTAGATTCATCAATTTCCTATTAAAATAGTCAAAAGGAGTCACACGAATTTGTAACTGAATTAATCCAGTATTTTTTGGATCTTCGGTCGAATCCCCAGCGAATCTGAACCTGACTCCAGTGACCACAAATCCGTTGGGTGCCATCAGATCATCAAAAGCAATGGTCTCTGGATGGGCATAGTCTCTGCCCAATTTCATGCCATAATGGTGAAGGTCATGAGTTGTACCATAAAATTTACGCTCTGGTTTATTGAAGTAAACATCTTCAACCGATTTCCAAACCCCGGCTTCATTCGAGTTAAAATCTTTCTCCTTTATCTGGACGTGAATCATATTTCCCCATTCGACGAATCTGACTCCAACAACTACCCTGCAATAGCATCCATCATTATCATTAAAATTACTGAAAGATTGTTCAATTTCTATCAAAATCAATGAATAAAAAATCCTGACTTGTTTTTGGTGATATCGGTAACTTGCTCTCGAAAACTGATAGCGGTTATGGTATTAATCGATTTAGGGTTACGTTTAATGCAAGTACACATGCAGAAATCACAATAACGCACTTGATCCGGGGAATACGTACTTCTGACAATCTTGTTTATACCATCGCAGAATGGATAGTTGCTACCATAAACGGTATGCTCTTTGCCTTTAATCCATTCGTAGCGTCGTGAACTATTTTCGTCCTAAAAATCATTATTAAAAATATGATTATTTTCCTTTATTTAATTTTGAAACTGTGAAACCATCAACACCTTTTTACAAAACTGATATGCAGAGTGATTGTACGAGCAGGATTTAAATTCGTCACATGTTGAGTAGAGTATTAAATCAACTTGACTTAGTTCACAATTATGATTGCATGATCCATAATAACTCAAATATGATTCTGCGATAATGATAACTTGCATCATACCTTCTAATTGGAGGTACGGCTTTCTGAGCACTAAAATAAAGACATTATTACTATCGTAGATGGCCGAATTAATTTGGTTCGTTGGCTAATAGGAATAAAGCGATCGATACATACTGGTTTTTTTTAAATTTGCATCACATCTATATACATGAGAGTTAGTTCTATTGAGAAGGACTTTGGTCAGTCTGATGCTGTCTGCTAATTCACTGAGAGACTCATTCTGACGCATCGTTAACAATGGAGCAGCATTCACTGTTCAAAAATGAGTTGTTTGAATTAATCAACAATGATGTGTACTAGTGACAATTAGTGACCTTTATACTCACAATTGAGACACCGTGCATCGATAATGTCGATGTAGTAGAGCATTACATACTCTTTGAGATACGTGGCAACAACTTGATAATAGTCATCGAAAACTGCTTGGTTCAATGATGTTGTTTGCCCACAAATATTGATCCACTTTTTATCCTAGAATAATATCTAATTTTTATCATAACTTAAAAATTACTTAAGAAATTTTCTTGGTTAATTGATACTTAAAGATTTTTATACTGAAAGCAATAATGTTTTTTTTTTTTTATAATTTTCTTCTAAAATGTTGTTGATTTGAGTAAAATTCAAAAAATTTGCGAACGTATCAGTCAAGAAAAAGCGATTACATCCAATAATATCACTTTGGACTATAATTGCAGTACTTTTTCTATTTTTGCTCGTCTTAATTTCATTCGATGCTTCTTTATTGATACTAACCTTGATCTCTGACGTCAGTTTCTCAACAAATTCTCTGTATTCCTTGAGAATGATCTGCTTCTCATATTTGAATTGATCGTTTTGTCCAGCATTTGCATCAGTTGGACAGAATTGAAGCACATCTTCAATATCAGAAATATTATTGGTACCCAACTGTAACAGCGGCTCGACGTATGAATTTATTGTTTCACTTATATTGAATATCTTCGTCAATTTATCAGATAGCTTGGAATTCAAAGAAGAACGATTCTTACGGTCAAATTTTTTCAAAGTAGAAATGAAAGAAACGAAATCGCCCAATGATAATACATTTCGCGAATCAGAAGACATATTGTTTAACTCAGTCAATATTTTTCTCAAATCATAGAATATCACTTTCAAAATATCCTCCTTCTCATCGCCGTTGATTGTCGTATTTTCCACTTGATAATATGACCACGCTTTTTCTTGAACATTATTAATAAATATTTCTATGCTACTTAAATCATACAAATTCATTCCAGTCGCGATATTTTGCATAAAAAAATATGATATTAACAACAAATAACTTTTAAAAATCATTCTCAATAACTAATTGATATCAACTGTGTTCTTATTCGAAATATAATACTTTCTTTTTAAACTCAGGAGTATAAATGTTCTACTAAATTAAAAGTTTTTAATTTCTTTAAAACAATTTTATTACTTGTTTCGAGGTTACAGTAATGGTTCCAAGTTATTAATGTCTTCATAGTCTTTAATGATAGAGATAACACCTCATAATAATAATTAATTATTATCATTTATCGATTTTCATGACGTCAATGAATTTTATCAACTACAAAAAATATTCTATGGATAGTACATCTTGATAGAAAATTTCAAAGTTTTAAATAATTTTAAAACATTGACTTTGATGAGAATTTTAATTTATTTTGTACAATTAAACAAAAATAGTGAATAATATCAATGATTTTCAATGAAAATATTTCGAAAGATTAAGATCGTAAATTTTGAATGCCAAAAATCCTCCATAACCTTCGCGACCACGATGGATAAGCCCGACTCCTCCTAAAGGGAACTCAGGTTTGCCCTCAACATCTTGAGCATCAAAAAACGGCACCGTAGATTGCCCGGCGTCTTTTAACAAATCCGAAGCTTGAAATCTAACAAATTTGATCGGAGTTGAGTCTATATAATTTACAGTTGATTTTGTTGGATTATCAGGATTCATCATAATTAATTCCTGTCTGTAAAGAGAAACGGTTATTAATCACTTAAGGAGATCCAAGTACCCTCCTAGTGTAAAGAATGTCTATAAAAAAATAATACGTAGAAATACTTTTGTTATTCATTTTAAAATTAATTTTTAAATTAATTAATAACATTTTTGAGAAAATTTTCGAAAAATTTACTCATTAAATAATTATTAACATTTAATTGATTAATAAAAAATATAGCACTCTAAATTACCGGTATACACTTGACAACACCGCAAGAGTTCCTTTACCATAAAATATATTTATGTTTACTGTTTAACTAAAATGACTAAGATCTTCTAGCATTTAAAAAACCGCGGTTACTTATGCGCTGGGTAACTGCGCAAGCGGTGTTGCCAAGTCAAATACAAGACTTTAAAGAATGAAAGTTCCGAGTGATTTTTCATAAAAAATATAAAATATCTCCGTAATACGTTCGGAAAGCTACTTTTTATTATTGTTTTAATCGAACGCTTATTATTTTTACAATCAAATTTAATGAAAATAAAATTTTTTTAAAATCGTTAATTGCATTAAATTCTTAACCAAATACACGGCTGGTGGAATCTCCATTTACCTACACGTAAAAATTACAATTTTCAAACCTAATTATTTGATTAAAAATTCCGGAAACCTACTGTTTTTTAATTTTTATATTAATTATTAGGCTACGTAGATTGAATTTATAAATTTTCAGGATGTTTTAAAAATTTGACTACTTTGCGTGGACCTCCTTAAATGAATCAGAATTTCATGCATAATCTTTGCACTTGATCGTTCTCAAAACTTTTAAGAAATTCCTAAAATAAGCATACCTCCAGATCAATTGATTTGGAACAACCCAATGAGTTAAGTATTCATAGACTACTCCTTTGGCGTAATCGTAAGGCGAGACACGAATTTCCAATTGAATCGTATCTGCCATACCTCGCAATTCATTGTAGTGATTCCGAGAAACTCCAAACCTGACACCCGTGACAACAAATCCTTCGGGTGCAATCATTTCGTCAAAATTCACAAATTTGGCTTCTCCGTAATCCACTCCTTTAATCATCTCGTGCATGATTGAATTGCTGTTCATAACAAATAACCTTCTGGGCATTCCATATCCCATGAATGCTTCTAGAGGTTTCCAAAAAGTTTTACCAATTCCATAGGGTTTTAATTGGCCTTCTTTGATCTGAACATGAATCAATCTGCCCTTCTTAACGAATCTCACACCCACAACAACTCTGCAATGTCAAAAAAAGATGAACCACATATCAGGAGATTGATTACCACAAATATCAGAAATTAATTTACTTATTGGCATAAATATCAGTAACCTGTTCCCTGAAACTGATCGCTGCAACTGCAAAATCGTCGTCTGATTCTTTGACACAAGAGCAAACGCAATAATCGCAACTACCACGCCTCAACAAATCGAAGTAGCTGGACACGCTCTTTAGGCCGCCATTGCAGTGAAGATGATCATCACCATAAGTAACATCTCCACTTTTTAACCAGTTAAACTGCCGATGGCCCGTTCCTTTAGTGGATTCGCAGTAATCGATTGTGCTACCAATATAGTGACAATCACGAAGTTCATGACAATGAACTTGTTTATGATTTATTGTTGTTTTTATACTATTCAAATCACAATTGTGTGAACAATACCCGTCAGTAGACATGGCTTTTTCCTCTAATATGATCGATTGAATCATATGATTCAATTCGAGATACGAATCTTGGTTATCTAAAAAAATCAGAGTGGATTAATTATCGGGTTATAGGTTGCTAGAATAATAATGGCAATTTTGATTAATTACAACTGATTTTATGATGATCTGCATCACATCTATGCATGTAATGGTTGGTTCTATTGAGCAGGACTTTTGTCAGTTTGATACTATCGGTTAACTCGCTGAGAGATTCGTTCTGACGTATCATTAACAATGAACCAGATTTCACTGTTGATAAATAATTTTTTTGAATTAATCAACACAGATGTGACAATTGGACCCTGATAACCAGAGTTTCAGACCACCAGATAAGATCAACTTCCGAATTGGTGACTGTTGGCATCAAGTTGGCTACAAGTTTCTGAGAAAAAAAAGACCAATCTACTGCCAAATTTTTTGAGAAACTTGATGTGAAAAAGTTTCAGAAGCCGTTTTTGCCGACAACTTGGTGAACAAGTTAACACCAACCGAGTTCATTTTCAAGACTTGCTGCAAACTTGGTGACAAGTTGCGGCAGTAAATTGCAGAAAGTTTGCGACCAACTTAGCTATCAGGGGAGATTTTCGTACTTACAATTGAAGCACCGTGCATCGATAATGTCAATGTAGTATAGCATTACATACTCTTTGAGATACGTCGCAACAACTTGATGATAGTAATCAAAAACTGCTTGGTTCAATGATGTTGTTTGCCCACAAACATTGAACCGCTTGTCATCCTAGAATTAATCCTGATAATGATAATTTATCATGATTTAAAATTTTCTTAAAGTGTTTTTGGTTTACTGAAACTTACATTAATCTCTAATGTCAGATTTTTAACGAATTCCGTGTATTCCTTCAGAACGATTTGCTTCTCATATTTGAATTGAACGTCATGTCCAACATTTGCATCAGTTGGACAGAATTGAAGCACATTTTGATCATCAGAAATATTATCCATCCCTAATTTTAGCAGTGGCTCGATGTATGAATTTATTACTTCACTTATATTGAATATCTTTGTCAATTTATCAGATAGTTTGGGATTCAGAGAAGAACCTTTTTGGCGATTAAGTCTTTCCCAAGTGGAAATAAAAGAAACTAAATCACCTGATGATAGTACTTTCCGTGCATCGACAGACATATTGTTTAACTCCGTCAATATTTTTGTAAAATCATAGAATATCACTTTCAAAATATCCTCCTTCTCATCGTTACTGATTTTCGCATTTTCGACTTGATAATATGACCACGCTCTTTCACGGATATTATTAATGAATATTTCTATGTTACTTACATTATGCAAATTCATCCCATCGACCACCGTCGTGAAATTTTGCAGAAAAAAACATGACATTAACACCAAATAACTTTTGAAAATCATAGTTAGTTTTTTACAGTTAAAAAAATTAGTCTTTTGACAATGATTCACTTAACAACCTCAACAGACTTTTAAAGTGATATCAATGTTCTACTTTATTATCCATTTAGTGTCTTATCTATTACTACCATTAAAGTATCATCAGTTCTAGCTCCGACTTTAATTACCACCTCTATATTTTAATTCCTATATGCTTCGACGTAGTTTCTTTATTCGATACTTTTGGACATAAACAAAACTTTGCTACTTTATTACCATCGTCATTTACCATCGATCCGCTGGGCGCTTTATAGAATCGCATTTTTAGATCTAGATTTGAAATTTTATTCGAGTATTGTTTTAACTTGCACAGATTCTCAATTCTATCGAATTGGCATGCACCTTTTATCCATGTAACCATTATAAAATTTCCGTGTCTTTTTTACAAAAATGAATAATAATTGATGTGAAAAAAAAAATTTGTAATGAGCATTGATAGTTTCAGTTACAGAAATTGCAGGTCTCATAAGTTAAGAAATCTGTCTAGTATATAAACATAACAAATAGAATTAAAAAATTTATTTTAAACAAATGACAATCGAATAGAATAAATTTAGTTACAATAAAAATTCATTATTTCTAAGTCAAAAAAATATAGGCTCTGGATAAGTAATCACCAACATATTATATACTAAAACCTTCTCGGAAACACGCTGCATCTTATGGTATAAGTATTATTCTGATCGGTTCAGTAGTTTTCGTAGTATAATCGGACAAAAAAAACCGCTTCTCCATTTATTAGTATAGAAGAAGATATATTGTCATTATTTCTATTTTTAATAATTGCCCCGAGCCAAAGTTGTTCAAAACATTCATACTCCCTTCATCAATTGTTATTCAATTAAAATATAAAAAAATAAACTAATTACTTTCATCATTGTCGGCTCTATAATTTCAACATTTAAAAAACTTACACAGCTAAAAGATCTTTTTTTTTTTTTTTTTTTTTTTTCAATGTTATATTTTAACAATTATTATTGAAATTTTTCATTATACATTATCAACCATGGTATATTTTGATTTATTTATTCTGACTTGTCCTTGAAAAGCTCAGATAGATTTATATCAAAAATTCTGAAAGCCAAAAATCCCCCATAATTTTTCCAGCCACGATGTACAAGCCCGACTCCTCCTAACGGAAATTCCGGCTTACCCTCAACATCTTGAGCATCAAAAAATGGTACCGTTGATTGTCCCGCATCTTCTATCAAGTTTGAAGGCCGGAATCTTACAGATTCATTCGGCATTGAGTCGACAACATTTCCAGGTGATTTGGTTGGTAACATCGCATTCCCAAGGGTTTTTCGGAACCTGAAAATGATAGCATTGAATCAGTAACAAATGACTGAATCATTCATCGCATAAAAAAAAATGTATACCTCATTGGAACTTCTTTCGGAGCTATCCAACGCGTTTTTTCGATGTTGACAAGCCCTTTGGCGTAATCAAAAGGAGTCACACGAATTTGCAACTGGATACTCCCACTTTTGAATCTTGGCTCTTCGAAGGAATCTTCAGCGAATCTAAACCTAACTCCGGTGATGACGTGATTTGCAGGAGCAATCACATCATCAAAATTGATAAATTCTGGGTGACCATAATCAGCTCCTTCATAGAGCATATGATTCACGGAATTATGCTTGCGTACGTAAGCCTTTAAGTCGTCATAATAATCGAAGTTTTCTAACTTTTTCCAATCAGCACTATCTGAAATGTTTGCGAAAAACTGACGTTCCTTTACCTGCACGTGAATCATGTAATCTTTCTTTACAAATCTCACACCAACAACAACCCTGAAAAAGATTTGAATTATCATAAGATATCATTAAAGTATAATAATTAAGAATTTTGACTTTGATATTTATCATTTCGTACCTAAGAAATGATCGCATGATATGTAAAAATTATAAACTACAGTTACTAAATTTTCTATACAAGCAACATCAATATTTACAAAGTAAAATGATAAATTTTTAACGCAACGCTAAAAATCAAACTATAATTATTGATTTACTTGGACTGGTAAAATATATATTTTAAAAGTAGAATTTTTACTGTTTCAAATGCTAAATTCTCCGAGTGTGAGACCTTCCCCTTCTCCTCATAGTATAGACTATATATTAAAACGGTGATTTTTACTGTTTGAAACTGTAATTTTTCAAGATGAGAAAGTCGTTAGTTACTATAGTGACAACTACTAATCACATTTTCGATATTAAATTATAAATTGTGGCTTTTACACTTTCTACATTAAGTTTTGTAATATTTACATTTGTTTACAGTTTACATTTTACAGTTTACTTTTTTCCGTGTAGAAAAAACTTTTACGCGATAATTAAAGCATATATTACATGTTTTTATGAATGTCCGTAACTTGTTCTCTGAAACTTAAAGCGGCGACGATATTTTCTTTGGGTTTTGGCTTGGCGACACAAGTGCAGAGACAATAGTCACAACTGTTGGCAGATGAAGCTCTGTAGTAACTCCCCACGGATACTTTAGTGTGATTACATGAACCTCGATTGTTACCGTAGATATAACCGTCATCACTCTTGAACCATTCGTAACGCTTCGAGCTCGAATTCTTATCCTAAAAATCAATTTAGCATTATTTGAAGATAAATTGAAGGAAAACTCTATCAAAAATAAGAAATAAGAAGTGGATGTACCGCGAAACATATTTCGTAGCCACTGTGGATGTACTGGCAATCGAAAAATTGCTTACATTCGGGATGATTAGCGTAGGATTGCATGGTCTTCAAATCACAATTATGCTTACACGAATTCTCATTGTTCAGTTCGTTCTCTACGACAATCATAATTTGCAAAAGGCGTTCTAATTCGTAGTAAGATTTACCGTTCGCTGTAAAAAGTATAATAAGAATTAGTCATCAGTTGTGAGATATGGATTATAACTAATCATATTAATGTTATTGGTTTAATTACTCTTATTACGATAATCCGCGTCACAAGCGTGGATGGAATAATTGGACGTTGCTAAAAATTTCTTTGTTAACTTAATGTTTTCTGACAATTCATTCAGAGAATCGTTCTGACGAGTGATTAGCAGTGGCATCACATTCCCTGGTGACATATCAATTCAAAATTCTATTGTTCAGTACATTCGTTGAAATTATCGACTGATTAACTATCTTTGTACTTACAGTTAAGACATCTACCATCAATAATATCGATGAAGTAGAGCATCACATACTCCTTTAAATACGTGACAATAATGTGATGAAAGTAATTGAAAATGGCTTGGTTCAATGAATTTGTTAGTCCACAAGTATTAAATTCAGTTTCATACTGAAATAAATAGATTTTTATAGTTGAAAAGTTTTCTTGGCTTGAGTAAAAGTTGAAAAGTATACTATCATGATGTTTCTGACAGTAAAAATCTATTAAATGATTTTACTTTCGACCATCACAGCAGTACTTTTTCTATTTTTGCTCGCCTTCATTTCATTCGATGCTTCTTTATTGATACTTACCTTGATCTCTATCGTCAGTCTCTCAACAAATTCTCTGTATTCCTTGAGAATGATCTGCTTCTCATATTTGAATTGATCGTTTTGTCCAGCGTTTGCTTCAGTTGGACAGAATTGAAGCACATCGTCAATATCAGAAATATTATTGGTACCCAACTGTAACAGCGGCTCGACGTATGAATTTATTGTTTCACTTATATTGAATATCTTCGTCAATTTATTAGACAGCTTGGAACTCAAAAAATAACCATTTTTAAGGTCAAATTTCTCCAAAGTAAAAATGAAAGAAACTAAATCACCCGATGATAATACATTTCGCGAATCAGCAGACATATTGTTAAACTCTGTCAATATTTTTCTCAAATCATAGAATATCACTTTCAAAATATCCTCCTTCTCATCGCCGTTGATTATCGCATTTTCCACTTGATAATATGACCACGCTCTTTCTTTAACATTATTAATAAATATTTCTATGCTACTTAAATCATGCAAATTCATCCCAGTCGCGAGATTTTGCATAAAAAAATATGATATTAACAACAAATAACTTTTAAAAATCATTCTCCGTTACTTATCTCTGTCCATGTAGTATAAACTCTAGTAGTCTTCAACTGAATAGTTAGTTATCATTTCACACATTTATATTAGCCTACTGTTAAAAATACTTAGCCTTCCTTCAATCATGACACATTTATTATCAGTTACAACGACATCTAATTTTCATTTTTAATAATATCAACATTTTATACAATTTCTGTGATTTTATTTTAATTTATATCAGAATTTTTTACTTCTCTTATGCATATTTTAAAATCACTTAGCCCTTTTAAATGAAGCAAATCATTACAAAATTACATTTATGTTTTTTCGTTTTTTACCAATACAAGCCTATTGTCAAATCCGAATAATACCTCGAGCGATCATTACTATTATTATAACAAGAAGCTCTTAATGGCTTTGTTTTTCCCCAGAATAAAAAATGCCATTAGTTTTATCTCTAATGACGTCAATGAACATAATTAAATTATTGTTTTTTTTTTCCACTCCAATTTACGCCTTAAAAATTATTACCAGAGTTCAATTACCCCTAAATCATTATTCTACCAATCAAGAATTTAAGGAAATAAAAATTAGATTTACCGAAATTTGGTAGATTAAATTTAATTCACAAACAAGCAAAATTTTTTACAATTCGGTTTTGGACTTATCATTAAAGTACATTGAAAGATTGAGATCATAAATTTTGAGTGCCATAAATCCTCCATAACCTTCATGGCCACGATGCACAAGCGCAACTCCTCCCAATGGAAATTCAGGATCACCTTCAACGTGTTGAGCATCAAAAAACGGCACCGTAGATAACCCGGCATCTTTCTCCAAATCCGAGCTTTTGAACCTAACAAACTGGTCTGGTGTTGAATCGATCTTATTCCCAGGTGATCTTGTCGGGTTGTCTCGATTATCGAGCAATAACAAACGTCTAAAAAAAAAAAAACAATAAATTCAAAACACTTTACATTTTGAAACATCAGAATTTCAGTAAATAACATACTTATGGAAATAGTCTGGTCTTATGATCCAATGCGTCTTATTTTTGTTGACAAGCACGCCCTTTGTGTAGTCAAAAGGTGTGACGCGTATTTGGAGCTGTATGCTTCCAGTTTTCATGATAGTAACCTTTTCAATGAACATTTCAGCTGGTTTGAAGCGTACTCCTGTGACAACGTACCCTTTGGGCGCTATCAATTCATCGAAATTCATTTTATCTGTCCAGCCGTAGTGAACCTTCTCTTTCAGGGTAGAGAAACTCGAATCCGGATTTTTAATATGATACCCTTCTGAAGATGAATTGTGATAAATATCTTCTAATTCTTTCCAAGAAGCTTTGTCTTCGGAGCTTCTGACTGTCAGTTTTCGTTCTTTGATTTGCATTTGAATCAATTTATTCTTTTCGACAAATCTGATGCCAACGACGACCCTGCAAAAGCGAGTGTTTGAAAAGCTTACAAATCGTGCACAAAAAAGAAGGTTCACTTGAGCCAAGAAAATATTTTTCTTCCTAATTGTTTTCTTGAGGGAAAAAAAATTTTTTTTAACACAAGAATTTTCACTTATTCCAACAAAATTAATTCTCTTGCTTTAAGAAATACGTATCTTGATCCAAGAAAATTTATTTAAGTCAAGAAAATCTTGTTGTTTTGAGAAAATTCAGCCTCTTGCTCCAAAAAATTTAGTTCTTGATAGAAGTAAATTTTCTTGTCTTGAGAAAATTTCTCTCTTGCTCCCAAAAATTAAATATAAAGATAGAAGTGAATTTTCATTAATATTTTTATTGATTAACATGTCAAATGGAAAGATCAAATAATATTTCATCATTTTTTTTCATTCAATATGTATAGTTGCACGCTAAAATAATATAAAATGGGTATCAAATATTCAAGAGAAAAATTTTCTCAAGGTGGGAAAATTTTTTTCTCAGCTGAAGTAGGTGGCGCTGCTTCCCTAAAGTATCTAAAAATCTTGATCAAATATAAAAATTTATTGTATCAAGTATTTATGATAATTTGAATTAAGAAAAAATTACTTCCACCAAGAATAGAATTTAAAGAAAAATTTTTATTTTGGCCAACACAACTTTGGTCTTTCTTCAGGCACCCGAAAATTTTCTTGAGCCAAAAATTTTGCTCTCCGGTCAAGAAATTTTTCTTTCTGGGTGGTAATTAACAACGAAAGCATTTGAATACCTACATGTCGTTTTCAATGTCGGTAACTTGTTCCCTGAAACTTATTGCGGGGGTAGTGTTAAGCGCAGATTTAGGTTTTTTGTGACAAGTACAAAGGCAGAAATCACAATTGTTGAAGGGTGGCCACCATGAGTAAGAACTTGATATTGTTTGTATCGTTTCATTACAATGTGGATAACCGGAACCGTAAATAGTATCATCGCCTTTGATCCATTGGTATCGGTTCAAGCTCCATGGATCGGGCTTAAATAGAAATTGTCGTCAACAAATAACGTTATTACTAGTGAAAAACTAGCAAAAGCTGCTCATTACCTCTCTGCAGAAATCAATCTCATCACCAATATATTTGCAGCTATCATATTCCTGACACTGGTCAAGTCTTAAACTGTATTGTATTTTTCTTAAATCGCAATTATTAGAGCACTCGTTATTGACTGTCAAATCCTCTTCTGGGATAATCATCGTTTCCATCATGCCTTTCAATTCGTAGTACGGCTTACCGATGGCTAAAAAACATTCAATAGAGATGATTTAAATTTGTATAATCAGTTGTTATATGAATGAATAAATATTTTTTGTTAATCACTATTTTTATAATCTGCGTCACAATTGTGGATGTTGTAATTGGACGTAGCAAGAAGTTTTTTGGTTAATTTGATGCTTTCTTTTAATTCAATGAGCGTTTCATTTTGGCGAAAAGTTAACATTGGAGCTGCTTTCACTGTTAAGACATTAGATATTGAAATTATTAAATAACAATACATTATTTAGAATAATTAATATTGATTATAATTAATAATCGTTGTACTTACAATTAAGACATCTTGCATCGATAATATCAATAAAGTAAAGCATTACATACTCCTTTAAATACGTGGCAATAACGTTATGAAAATAAACGAAAATTGCTTCGTTCAATGAAGTTGTTAGTCCACAGGTGTTAAATTTATTTTTATACTGAAAGCAATAATGTTTTTTTTATGATTTTCTTCTAAAATATTGTTGATTTGATTAAAATTCAAAAAATTTGCGAACATATCAGTCAAGAAAAAGCGATTACATTCAATAATATCACTTTGGACCATAATTGCAGTACTTTTTCTATTTTTGCTCGTCTTAATTTCATTCGATGCTTCTTTATTGATACTTACCTTGATCTCTGTCGTCAGTTTCTCAAGAAATTCTCTGTATTCCTTAAGAATGATCTGCTTCTCATATTTGAATTGATCATTTTGTCCAGCATTTGCATCAGTTGGACAGAATTGAAGCACATCTTCAATATCAGAAATATTATTGGTACCCAACTGTAACAGCGGCTCGACGTATGAATTTATTGTTTCACTTATATTGAATATCTTCGTCAATTTATCAGACAGCTTGGAATTCAAAGAAAAACCATTCTTACGGTCAAATTTCTCCAAAGTAGAAATGAAAGAAACTAAACCGCCCGATGATAATACATTTCGCGAATCAGTAGACATATTGTTTAACTCAGTCAATATTTTTCTCAAATCATAGAATATCACTTTCAAAATATCCTCCTTCTCATCGCCGTTGATTGTCGCATTTTCCACTTGATAATATGACCACGCTCTTTCGTGAACATTATTAATAAATATTTCTATGCTACTTAAATCATGCAAATTTATCCCAGTCGCGAGATTTTGGACAAAAAAACATACGAACAACACTAAATAACTTTTATAAATCATGATTGATTCATTTATTCTGTTTCAAAATTTTTAATCTTAAATTCAACTCTTCCAATACTTATCAATACTCACTAATTTACTTCTAGAGCGCTTGAGTAATAGATACTCCCTATTTATCTGAAACATACAAACAAATGCAGCGTCACCTTCAAGTTATAATAGTTTCTGTTAATAATGATAAATAAATCTACTTGTGGCTTTCTTGAAAAAATACTTCTACTATAATAATTAGATAGAGTTACAGACTCGAAGTGGTAATAATGTTATAATTGAAGAACATCATCCGGTCTGACGTTTTAGTTCTTATCGATAATATTTTATAGATTTTTAATTAACTGCTTTTGCGTTTTTAATTAATTGATGTCACCTTATGAGTTCTAAATGTATTTGTCAAAGACTATAACGATGTTATAATTGCATTACACTAATTAAATATCGTGTCTATCATGTTTCTATTCCGTTTCATAATTATAATTATTATCAATAATTAGTAAAAAAAAAATTATTAAACTTTGTAAGTCAATCAAAAAAATTCAATTCGTGACTTAAATTACTTGATCATAATTATATAACATTTTCTATAATCTGATACTGTACACTGAGAAAAAAAAAGTACTACTCTTTATAAAATTTTCTTGTCTCAAGAATTGATCGAATTATTTTTTGTTTAATTCAAATGAACCTATTCATTTGTTAATCGATAAAAATTAATGCCAATATTTTATTATCATGATAGATATTGATATTCTTTTGTCCAAAAATCAAAATTTATTTTAAACGATTCTTGAGTCAATAAATTTTTTTTTGGATAAAAAATTTGTTTTTTCTCAATGTTAAAATCAGTTATCCTCTTCCAAAAAGTTGAGGGCCGGAGATCGTATCGTTTTACATCACTTCTGTGGCTATTTTATTCGATTGTTGATTGGTCGACAATAATGGCGGGATTTTGAAATGAATGAAGGCGAGCATGACATGTCTAGTTTTTAAAAAAAATCACGATTTATAATAAAATTTTATAAAACAATTTTTCTACACATAAACTCTAAATAATAAATTTAATCAATATTCTTCAAGAATATCTAATAAAACAATGCAAGTCTTCAATGATCATATGTTCCATTAAAATTATTCGTGAGATCTAGATCGAAAACTCTGAATGCCAAGAATCCTCCAAAACCTTCTTTGCCACGATGAATAAGTCCAACTCCTCCCAAAGGAGCCTCATGTTCTTCTTCAGCTTCTTGAGCATCAAAAAACGGAACTGTTGATTGTCCGACGTCTTTCTTCAAATCTGAAGCCTTAAACTTGATGAACTGGTCCGTTTTAGAGTCCAAATTATTCACGGAAGACTTTATCGGTAAATCTGGTTCCACCAGCACCAATTCTTTCCTAAAAAAATGCAACATAAAAAGGTAAAATAAAAAATTGCAAATGAATAAAATTTCAAGATTTTAATTACCTTGTTGCTTTTAATTCCGGAACAATCCACTTGGTCTGAGTGAGGTCCTTCAACTTGCCAGTGAAGTAATCGAAAGGTGTCACTCTGATCTGCAACTGGATAGGCCCATTGACTTTCTTGGGAAAACCTAGCGAGTCACCAGCGAATCTGAACCTGACTCCCGTGACAACGAATCCTTCGGGAGCCACCAAATCGTCGAAGTGGATTTCTTCGGGAAGAGCGTAGTCAATTCCCAATTGAAGTGGACTTTGAGTCTCGTCGTCATTTATAACAAAGAGAGTTTTTTGCCAGTAATCATAGAAAAATTTTTCAGTTTCCTTCCATGCGCCGTGATCGATAAATCTTCTGTGCCTGATTTTTCCTTCTTTTATCTGGATATGGATCATGTGCTCCTTCTTAATGAACCTTATGCCTACAACCACTCTGAAAAATAAAAGAATTTTCAATGAAAATGTCACAAAAATTTGCCATCAATCAAAAATACTTACAAATTTTTGCGCATGTCACTGACTTGATCCCGGAAACTTATCGCAGCAATGATATCCCGGTTTTTAGACGGCTTTTTGACACAAGTACAAACGCAGTAATCGCACCAACGGAACTTGGTGGATGACAGCTTACTGTACCTCTCAACAATATTATTTAAGCAAAGATCTGTGGAATTGTCTCCGTAGAAAACACCTTTTTCATCTACAACCCATTGGTAGAGTCTTGAACTTTTTGGATTAGCCTGACAGAGTTTAATTATGATATTCAATTACTTGTGTTAATCATAATAATAACAACAACAATTATAATAATAAAAATAAAATAAACTAGCAGCCTTGCAGTCACTATGTGACTACCATGACTCGTGAACTATAAATAAATAAAATTTTGCTTTTTTAAATAATGAATTTTATTAAATTGCACTGTACTTTTTTAACTATTAACGTTTTTAAAAATATAAGTTCATCCCGATGTTACACTCATCAAGACCTTTCATTTGAGTACCCACATGCATTTTGATATATTTTTCATATATACATATATATAATATATATAAATATATGAAAAATTGATGTGGGTACTCAAATGAAAGGTCTTGATGAGTGTAACATCGGAATGAGCTTATATCTTTAAAATTATTAATAGTTCACAAGATACAAGGTCGTTTCTTAATTATGTTAAATTACATTGTACTTTCTTAACTATTGATATTTTTAGAGATATAAGCTCATCCCGATGTTACACTCATCAAGAGCTTTCATTTGAGTACCCACATGCATTCTGATATATTTTTCATAAATACATATATATATAGTATATATAAATATATGAAAAATTGATGTGGGTACTCAAATGAAAGGTCTTGATGAGTGTAACATCGGGATGAGCTTATATCTTTAAAAATGTCAATAGTTTACGAGATACAAGGTCATTTCTTAATTATGTATCCAGAGATAGAGCATTTTGAATGCAGCCTAAATACTTATCATAAATTGACTATTAGTGAGAATAATATGAAACCTTGAAAAGGCACAAATTCAAGTTACAACTTTTCCAATGATACCAAATTTAACCATAAAAACCCATTTTATCATATAAATACACTGTCCATAAAATGTTGCTTATTCTCTTAATAATATAAATAATTGATAACTTAAAAGCTACTTACTTCGCAAATTTCATAACTACCCTCAATATACTGACAATCCCGATAATCCGCGCATTCGGTGAGATTGATCGTGGGTTTTATGGACTCTAAATCGCAATTGTGGCTGCAGGATCCGTCGGTAGTTAAGTCTTCTTCTTTGATAATCACCGTTTGCATCATTCTTTCGAGCTCGTGATGAGTTTTCTGTCGGCCTAAGAAATTCAAATACCATCAATAACTACATCAGGAATGATGCAAGATCTAAAGTGTATGAGTAATTACCTGTGGTGTTTAACTGGGGGTCGCATCTGAACATTGAGTGCTTGATATTTTTGAGGACGGACATGGTTTGGTTGATGCTCACTCTGTAGGTGTTTTTTATTTCTTTTACGTATCTCGACATCCATGATTTTTGGTTGTCTATGATAAAAAAAATCAATATTACAAATTAGGATTTCTAAAATATTGCACTTAAAAAAAATGTATTTGGTTTAAAAGAAATATTTTTAATTTAATAACAAAATCAGTTTTAAGAGTATATTATCTCAAAATTATTAAGAGTATATTCCCTTCGATCGATACAATTAAATTCTTCATTGAAAGAATTTTATTCTCTAATATTAACAATCATTTTGTTTTCCTTCAACAATTTTATACTTTTGGTTAAACAAGTTTTTTCATTCTGAATATCAAAAAAAAATATCGACGTTCTAATTAGTAAATTGTCTAACTCCATGTTAGAGAATCTTCCATTTGTACAAAAAAACCATTAGCTCGAAATTTATTATAACTTTAAAAAATCATTTAATATTAAATAGAGGTATAATATTTTGGTTTGGATCATTGAAATAATTTATAATGGGACTATTACCACATCACAATGTTAAAAAATCACCCTCTAAAAAATAAGATCAATTGTTAATTAGACCGTCGATATATGACTTGATATCTCCATATTAGGTCTGATATGGCCATATATAATTAGATCAGGCCCAATATGTTCACATTATGAAATTTTGTCACAATATTTTCTGAATATTTAGAAGCAAGAATAATATTTTGAAGATAATATTTTTCTTGAACTAAGTAGTAACTTTTTTTTATATACATAATTAAAAATTGAACTAGGTTGATTTCTTTTAGTCATTACCGTTAGTGCATCCAGCATGAATGACATTGAGGTGATAGATCATAACTGATTTTTTCAAGTACGCTGTCATAACCTCCCGGAAATAATCTAGCATTCCTTGGTGAAGTGGAGTTGATTTGTGACAGAACCTGTGTTGAATTCCGCCCTGCAATAATTAATTTTTATCAATTAATATTAAAATGTTCATTCAAAATTTTAATTCCAATATTCTCAAAAATTTCTATGTGTACTAATAGAAGGATTTCTTACCATTTAAGAAAATTTCTTTGTATTTAAGAAATCATTCCTTAGCATTTAAAAAATATTTCTTAGTATTTATAATATTTCTTAAATACTAAGAAATATTTTTTAAATACTAAAAAATTATGTTCAAGAAATTATTTCTTAAGGAAGTTCGAGCGTAACTAATGAATCAAAATAGTGTTAAAATTTTTTTAAAATTTTAGTCTTCCCAATATTCGTCAAAATTCTTTATTTTAATTTGAAATAATTTAAACAATTTAATAATTGATGATTTTTACTTATTTAATAAAGTAAAGTAATAAAATGACTTTGATATTTATTACTTGCCGGAATAAATAAACAGATTTGGCAATAGCGCGCTTGATTATACCCATAACATAGACGTGGATGAGTAGTTGAGTTAAACATTTCTCTCTCTGTAACTATATTTCTATCCTTTTCTTTTTTCTCAGCTGTTGACGCGATGTTGTCAAATCTTTATTCGAATAAATGGCTGACGATAAACGAGTTACAAACATAAAATTTGACTTTAAATATTTCATAAATTATATCGATAATGTATTATTATTAAATTGTTTTTATATTTTGCAATAATATAAGTTTCTTGTGTATAGTTTTTTATCCGTTAAAGTTGGGAGGTTAATATTGAAAAAAATAATTAAAGTCTCGACAAAAGTTTGTCCGCCGTAAGAGCCCGTGTATAAAGAGATAAAATATGTGATTTTAAAAATTTAATATCTAAGTAACTAAACGGTGAATCTTTTTTCAATTTTGGGATGAGATAAATGACGTATTTATTTATACGTATATTTAATTTCAAAGGTCAAAGTTGAAAATTATTTTTTACATTAGATTCGCTCGTACTTCCTTAAATACAAAGAAATCTTCTTAAATACTAAGAAATCCTTCTATCAGTATATATCAAAATATTTATTAAAATATATTTTTCAAAACTTACTGTCATCTGCGCTGCTATATTATCAAGCAATTTAAAGTACTCTTTATCAATCCCTTCATGCGGAAATCGTTCATCAGTGTTAACCAATATCAAAAGTTTTGGTACAAATGAGCAAAGATCATGTTTATTATCAAAAAAATTTTTTTTTATTTCAAAAATCGAGCCTACGTGAACATCGATCGTTCTAAGTCTTTCGCTGATTGTTCCCGTGAAAGAGCTCAAGAAGCTTGGTGGGAAGTAATTGTGCTTCATTTTTTCTCTATCGAACATCTTGAGAAATTCCGGTAAATCCAAGGGCCAAAAATCACCCTTAAAATCAGTTGTTACAGCATTCAACTCTTCTAGAACTGTAACCATATGGTTAAAAACTTCCTTCAGAACTCGATATTTTTCTTTGTCGGTCACATTTTTTGGAATTTCTACCGTTATAGACTTTTCGTGGATTGTGTCTACATATTTGCTCACTGTATTTATATTATAAATATCTTTCACGGCGATCGATGTGGTTTGCGAGATAAATACTGCAAGAAATGCAAAAAAACAAGTGCAGCTTTTTAAAAACATTTTTTTTTTAATTCTATACTAAACTCATGAAAAAAAAAAATTTAATTGAATATAAGAGACTTAGTCACCGACTTATCGAACACTAATGGTTCCGGCCGTCAGTATTTTTATAACTAAGTCATTAATTGTACTTATAACTTACTATAAAAAAACTGTAACTAGAGTAGACCTAGAATTTTCGATAATCGAGTTTCCTACATTACACGATATGCGTTCATTGTAATTATGATTAGAAAATGACGGCGTTCGATTTTTTAGATAATCAAATAATCAAATGTGTGATTGGGATTGACTTGTTTTATTTATTTTTTAATTCATTATCAAGTAAATATTAAAGTAAGTTGTGGAATGTTTTATCTAATCGGGTATTCATGGGAAACATATTACGGTCTCAAAGATAAAAAAGTGTTTCTAGTTTAATAGCACACCGAAAAAAATATATTACAATTGAAAAAATTTACCGAGAAAGTAAGATAAATAAATAAAAATTTTTTCTTGTGATGCATTTATAACGCGATCGAGTACGTTGTTAGACGGACGAGAAAAGCGAGCTTTAAGAATAAAAGTATTGACTTAAAATTTTTTGACTTTATGTAATTTTTAACCTCGAAAATATTACAACGAGAAGAAAAAAAAATATAAATATAAAAAAATCAAATTTTTGACAATTTGGAGAATTTTTAAGAATTTTAAGTGACTCTTCAAATTTTTTTCAACTGATTTTTGGAGAGGGCTCTAGAAACATAACAAACTCATATAAAAAAAGTTGATTTTTTCCGCAATGTTTAATTATATTTTTGTTCATGATATAAATTTGCATTTTATTGCTTATATATTTAAGAAAAAACTAGCAACCCTGCAGTCACCATGTGACTGCCGTGATTTGTGATCTATAAATAAATAAAATTTTGCTTTATTAAATAATGACTTTTGTTAAATTGCACTGTACTTTCTTAAATATTGACAATTTTAACGACATAAGCTCCTCTCGATGTTACACTCATCAAGAGCTTTCATTTGAGTACCCACATGCATTTTGATATATTTTTCATATATACATATATATAATATATATAAATATATAAAAAATTGATGTGGGTACATAAATGAAAGGTCTTGATGAGTGTAACATCGGGACGAGCTTATATCTTTAAAAATGTCAATAGTTCACAAGATACAAGGTCGTTTCTTAATTATGTTAAATTACATTGTACTTTCTTAACTATTGATATTTTTAAAGATATAAGCTCATCCCGATGTTACACTCATAAAAAGCTTTCATTTGAGTACCTACATGCATTTTGATATATTTTTCATATATACATATATATAATATATATAAATATATGAAAAATTGATGTCGGTACTCAAATAAAAGGTCTTGATGAGTGTAACATCGGGATGATTTTATATCTTTAAAAATGTCAATAGTTTACGAGATACAAGGCGATTTCTTAATTATTATTTTTGATATATACATATATTTTAATATACATAAATATATAAAAAATTGATGTGGGTACTCAAATGAAAGGTCTTGATGAGTATAACATCGGGATGAGCTTATATCTTTAAAAATGTCAGTAGTTTACAAGATACAAGGTCATTTCTTAATTATGTGTCTAGAGATAGAGCATTTTCGAATACAGCCTAAATACTTATCATGAATTGACTGTTGGTGAGAATGATATGAAGCCATGAAAAGGCACAACTCCAGGTCGACTTTTCCAACGATACCAAATTTAACCATAAGAACTCATTAAATACACTAGCCACAAAATTTTGCTTATTCTCTTAGTATAGTATAATATAGATATAATGCTCGTAAACAATGATTAATATATTATTATTTGAAATTACGTAACATTGAAACAGTGAAAAATTCCCTGCGAAGTAGTAGAAAAAATCTGAGGTCAGGCTTACCAGGTTATATTAAAAAATGATTTTTTTCACCAAGATTAAAAATAAAAATAAAATTAATTAATTTAGCCAATAGAAAAAAAATTTTAAAAAGGCATAAACATATCCGAGCATAAAATATCTGAAATAAATAAAAAAAAAAAAAATTATTAATATTATTTAGTGTCACGATTCGATGCAGACCGTTTATGGTTTTATATTTTAGTACTTTCATAGCCACCTGATCACATATTAATCTCCGTATTAATGTAACTACCATATAGCGTATCACATAAAATATATTTGTATGAGTGTATATGATCTCTGGATTCCATAAGTGGGAAGCGGAACGAAGATAAAGAATATAATAAAGAATGAAGAATAGATGTATGACAAAGAAGAGAAGAGAAGGATAACTGAGCAGCGAGATGAGATGAGATGAGAGTAAAAGGAATGCGAAAAAATAAAAGATTTAAAGAGTATTCAGCGCCTGGGGCAAGTGATTTAAAAGTGAGAGGAAGATAAGCTCGAATAAAGCCCTCGCTGAAGCGAGAAGGAGCCAAAGAGGAAAAGATTAACGAAGGAGCGTGTACTCTGTAGACTGCGTGGCGTCTATACTGCCAGTGTAATGCCACAACAGGTGGACCCACCAAATTCACGCTCACTTGTTTACAATTTATGTTGTATTATCAATTTAAGTGTATTATATATCATATCGGTCGAGCTGGAGACACTTTTTCGTGCTTGTTCCTTCGAACTTATGCTCATCCCGGGTCACAAGTCGTTTTTACGCGTTATGTCATCTTCTTTCCTCTCTTTAGATTCTAAGTAATCTGATGATACTTCACGGTAATGAATTACTGCTTTTGCCGGTTAATTTGTTTTTTATTTATGAGCTGAGTTCATAGGAATTTTTTTAAGTATTCTTTAGGAATAAATCTCTTAAATTTATTAATTTTAATAAATTAACTGGATGTAAACACTCAATTACATTTTTAAAACACTAATTTTTATATTTATTCAATTTTTAATCCGTTTATTTGACAAAAAAAATTTTTACAACGCTTTTGGCTACACACAAGAAACAAATTTTTTGCGCCAAGATAATTTTAAGGAAAACAAAAGATATTTTGGAGCAAGAAGAAATTTTCTTTGCTCAAGAAAATTTTCTTGGCTCAAGAAACTTTGACTTCCTTCAAGAAATTTTCAATCTTTAATATTTTCTTGAGCCAAGAAAATTTACACTCCAATCAAGAATTTTTTTTCTCAGTGTAGTAAAATTCTCTTAAATCAAAAAAAATTCCTTAGTTCAATTTTTGTTCGATTAAAAATATCAAAATTATTATTTTAGTTCGAGTATTCTTCGTTAATCAAGTAAACTTTTTTTTTTTCAGTGTTATTTATAATTAAAAGAATATTATCGGTATATTTAGATGTTATTCATTATTTAAACATATTTTATATAAAATACTAGCTGTTACTCGCCCGCTCCGCTGGGCGCTTTATACACTGATAGAAAATTTATTCTTGATCTAAGAATTCATTTTGGAAGACAAATGATTATTTTGCTTTAAGAATTTCTTGTCTTGATTTAGATTTTCTTGGCTTAAAAGCTAAATTATCTTCAATCGATACATTTAAAAAAACTTAAAATAATTCATCAAAGTATATTTCAAAAACTAAATAGTCTTTAATTGTTATACCAAAAAAAAAAAATTATTTCTTGGAAATAAGTAAATTTATTCTATATACATTGTAACTTTCAATGTGCAATCATTATAACATTCCCGTGTCTGTCTTTCTTACAAAAATCAATAATAATTGATATGAAAAAAAAAATTTGTAATGACCATTGAAAGTTTCAGTTAAAGAAATTGCAGGTCTCATAAGTGAAGAAATCTGCCTAGTATGTAAACATAACCAATAGAATTAAAAAATTTATTTTAAACAAATAACAATCGAATAAAATAAATTTAATTACAATAAAAATTCATTATTATAAACAAAAACAAGATTCAATATTTTAGATTTAGTACGATAAAAAAGATAATATAAGTTTTTGTAAAATATAATTAATATATCCGTAGTGTTTGAGATAAAAAATTATATTAATGTAATGATTAATAATTTTATTACCTTTAATACTAAAAAATTATTTAATTATATTAAATTAGACTTTATTATCCATTTACAGTAAAAGAGAGATTAATTACGATTTTTTCAAATGTTTAATTATATTTTTATTCATAGAAAGAGCATTTTTTGTTCATATTTATAAAAAAATATATTTAAATAATGATTATACTATAAAAACTAACATGAAATTTGATATTTTATCACAAATATCCTTCAACTCAGCATAATTACTCGCCAGTATTTGATAATCTTTTTCAATCTTAAATCACATAAATCTTTGAAGGCAAAAATGGTGATTCACCATAAAAATAAAATTTCTTTGATACTTAAAAAAATAAATAAAAGTATTAATTAACACGATAATGTCAATGAAAGCGTAATTGAGTCTTGGATCTTGATGGATCTATTACTTCTCCGCCTATCAAACCTCAACAACATAATAATAAAAGCGCAATGATTTGTCGTGATGTACGCAATACGATGAACTTTCGCCGATCAAAAATTATATACCATAAAATTTATTCGTAACTTTCTATCCATTGAGCATTAAAATTTTATTTTTTTATTATTTATTAGTTATTCCTTACAACTCATTATAATTGCAATTATAATTGTAAAATAAATAAAAATTTATATTATGTAAATATTAAAAAAAAAAAAGTAAAGGTGAAGGTACAAAACCGGAATAAATTATAAAACATTTAGGGTCCGCACGAATTCGGTTTTCGGTATTGCAGGGCATTGTCCTCGTGGGCGTGTATCTTAATACCCAGGGTATCAAGTATGAAGTATGGAGTATGTAAAAGTTTAAAGTAATGGTACTTGTACTGCATAACAGGAGATCGTACACGATCTGGCAAAGA